ATTGCATAATCGGAAGATTATCTAAAACTTGACGTCATCTATTATAAATGAAAAAGCAGCAGATAAATGATGTGTATTATATAATTGTCTAGTCTAATTTTTGTTTTCAAATTCAATCTAGATTGAGTTACTGCTTCAATGAATAACTGTGAAACTGTTGACAATTAACTATTCCACTATTAAAGTCATTTTAATAATGTGATAGTGTAAATTTAGAGTAAATTTTATATTTTAATACAGTTTAATAGTGAAGTGTGTTTTTGATTAAATTTTAATAAGTTGTTATTTTTTTTTTAAATTTGTTCGAAAGTGTGACGTACTTTAATGAGGGGGGGGGGGGTCCGAGATTTATGACGGTTTGTGACTGGGGAGAAAAGGGGGGGGGGGGGGGTTAAAATGGTCAAACATAGCGTGCCGTACTTTATGGACGGCCCCATTGAAGTTCAGTTCTCCATTTAATTTTTTTGAAAGTGTACGGTGCTGATGGCTTATTCATTACTAAAGCCGTTTTCCTTCTTCCTAAAACCGATCATTTAGTTTTCATTCAGTGAACAATTCAATTTTTTAATATTAAACATTATGTATATATAACATATGCGGTCATAAGAATTTGAGAAAAGTCTTAGGTGAGGCATAGAACAAAAAATGTTGTGAAACACTGGCCTAGATCCGTCAATTCACATAGTGTTGTCTAAGCCGATTGGTGTTTATATAGCTTATATAAGTCGAAATGAAATTTGGCCGCCGGCTCCAAAAGAGTGGATAGTATGAGTCCATACCCTACGGAATCTGAATATATATAATCAAGAGTATGTGTAGTAAGTTTGGTCATGATCGATCAATTTATGTAGGAGCATTTGTTGCTAATTTGTTATATATAGCTCATTTAAGTGAAAAAAAAAATAATTTAGGGCCCCCAGCCGCAAAAGGAATGCTATAAAAAGTTTTGAACCCAATGTATTTAATTCTGGATAGTGATGGATATAATATGTGAGAAGTTTAGTCAAGAGCCATCAATCGATGTAAAGCGTATGCGGAACAAACAAATTCATAAACAAACAAGAGCATTATATATATATATAGATAGATAGATAGACATAAATAGATATATCTTTATATATATATATATANGTAAACGAGGCGAAGATATTGCATATCAAGCATATACGTCTTTCCAGTTCAGTAATAACTTAAGTATTGGCTTTCTATAGAAGATGCCCACCATCGCCAAGTGATGTCCTGCCCCTGGGGGAACTGTCTTCGAAGCAGTTAAACGAGGTATTTTAGCCGTCACGGTGTGTAAACTGGGTCAAGCAAATAGGACATTTTTATTTGGACCACTGGCAAAAAAACGTACATCTAAACTAGGATAAATGTAAGATAGATTTCATAGGTTTCTGCAGTATCGTAGCAAGACATTGCGCTGCCTGGGTTGGAATTTGAATCTGCCCCCCTCCCCCCCCCCTTCTTATTATATATAGCATTTTTGGCACGGTGAAAACTGGAACTAACGAGCCCTGAAATAGCGGGACTGTCCCTGTGATATACACTAAATCACCCCGGAACGGAAACGGGGTGGGGGGGGGGGTAGAGAGGGGAGAAGGAAATCAAGGACTCCGGAGACTCCCAAGCCAAAGTAGGGGCAGGGGGGGTGTGCTCATTCCTTATTTAATCCTTTTAGCCCAAGGGCCCGGGCGTTTAACGATCTCTTTCTATGGACTATGACTCGACAGCTATCTATTGCCTCAGACGCCTTAAAGCGACTAAGCGTCATTCCAAGGAAAAATTAGTGTGCGAACACATGATAATGTTCAAAGTCATAATCGCAATGGTGGATTTACTCTTTGACCAAACGAAACCATTGACCTTTGGTTAACATATCCCGAGGTTCGGTATAAAATCAAAACATTGAAATTATTATTAAAATACTATAGAGTTTTACTGACCAATAATAAACTGTAATTACAATTGCACACTTAAAATCACTAAGGCCACCTTTAAAGTTGATTTCAACAAATGCCTTTCTTTTCCTGGGTCCTTACTTATGCCCCCAAGAGCAATTAATTCTAGAGCATTGTTTTTGTTTATTCAGTGAAATGCCTATATCAGGGGTGTGAAAACTTCGGCCCGCGGGACAAATGCGACCCTTTAACTGAAATTATGCGGCCCTCGAAGGCATTTAGACATTTTTAAAAAATACTTTGTTTTTAATTTATTTTGTTGAATTTTACAGACTTTCATGTACCGTTATGATTGTTATGAGTTAACATTTTTGATCAAATTTCTTTCTAATTTTTTATTTTTTTAAAACAGTCCTTGACTTTTATCATGTAATGCTATAATGGGAATTCGCCAATTTTAATCTAGAGAAATGTTTATCGGCATGTAAAAATAGGACATAATATACATACGCCCCCCCCCAACAGCTTTACATTTGCCAATGTGTCCCTCCGCACAAACAGTTTGCCCACCGTTTGCCTATATTATTCCAGTTGGCACATAGGCCAGTATTGAGCTTAGTATGTTCAGTCATCACGCGTCCTCAAAAGAAAAATCAAATCTGAAATTTCGCCCTTTGATTACTATTCCCTGGTTCAGTGGTTCTTAACCTTTGTAATGCTGCGACCCTTTTATACAGCTCAATAGTTCCTCGTGTTGTGGTGACCACCCAACCATACAAGTTATTTTCGTTGCTACTTCATAAATATGTGTTTTCTTATGGTCTTAGGCGACCCTTGTGTAAGAGTCGTTCGACCCCTATAGGGATCGCAATCCATAGGTTGAGAACCACTGCCTTAAAGTTGATGGCCGTTTTTTACTACTTCGCCCCTTTACTCGACCTAATATTCCAACTAAACTGGGTCAGAGTAAAACCCAAAACACACAGTGTAGAATTTAGCCAATTAAAATAGGGTACCTTATAATATAAAGTAGTAAATGATGGTCAAATAAATTTTTGCCGTGCGTCTTTTTCGATGACCCCAACATAAAGAAAACAAATGCTGCCAAGAACTCCCCCACCCCCCTCCCACTTTTACTACGCTGCTGGGTTTGTGACCTTACATTACATATGTCTAAAGCTGATGAGGCCCGAGTGAAGATGATTGCTCTGAACGTGTTCAAGAATAATCGTTCTCTAAACAGTCATTTTTCAACTGAGCATACTGGTTGCTAATACAATGTTAAATGGTATTTTCACGTTTACTCCTTATCTACATTTTATAAACGATTGTGCACATTCTATTCACATGCACACCCAAATGTCGTGTCGTTTTTACTTGCCGATTTATATTATCGCAGGCAGACTGGTTCATTATAAAGTAGCTGTAGCGTAGGGTTATTTGGTTTTTAAAAAAAAAATTAAAAAAAATAAAAAAAAATTTTTTAAAGATGTGGCTCGAAGAATGAGCAATGCGCAACAAAGGACTGAAAACCAGTATACAAAGAAAACGACGCAAAAGCTATAGCCATACCAACAACATTCAATTTCATTATGCTATTAGCTGTCTATAAAATAAATTCAAATATGTAGAAACAAAAAACTTTCAGCTTACAGCAAGTGGAAAGGGGATATCCTCGAAAATACAAATATTAATTTACATACACATAAAAGAGTAGACTCTTGTAATTATGTAACGGTTCGTGCATGTACTTATACGAAAATTAGACAACATCTCTCCAGGCTTCCGGCCTAAATACGTAGGGATACAATTAAAAACCATCTCCTAAAGAAATTCTCGAAATTGCTTCAACTGATAGCAATCTTTAGAACAATTAGTCAATGGAATTTTTTATGGGATGAGCCGGTAACAAAATCTTTAAAAATGAGTTTTTCTTGCATGTGCGTTATTTGACACAAGATGAACAAAACAGTTGCATTCTACTCAAACCAGCTGTTCAATCTTTGCATCGTCACTGAGAAACCTGCGTTCTTGCAGGACTGGAGCCCTGATTGTAAAAACCGAAACCCGGTTTGAAACTCGATTTCCTAACCGGATTTCTAAAATCGATAACCGGTTTGACGGGAAAAAAAAACAAAAACAAAAAAAACACGGTGCTAGCAGAGGCGTAGGAAGGGGCGCGAAGGGTGCTGTTCGCCCCAAGGGGTGCATTTTTTCTTTATGTGGAAGGGCGGTATTTTCAGCCAACTGCAGAATTAATTTATTTTTTTTTCGTTGAAGGGGGTGGCACAATTCTCCCCAGGGTGGATCCCTAGCTACGCCACTGGGTAGGTCTATTAACATCCCTAGTCAACTCCCACTGCTCAAGTTGACGGCACAGGACTCACGGGGCTAGTGGCATCACCCACGGGATAAACTAGGACAAAGTTCTCCACGCAGCAGTTACACTCGGAATGAGCACACTGAACAACGGCATTCGTCTACGGATGGAGAGTGGGCGCGGAAGAGAGATTGCCATGAAAAGGCTATATGTTTTATATGTTTGTGGGAAAATTAAATCACAAAAGGAATATAGGAATTTAGTGGATGAATGTGGGATTGTCAGAGAGATAAAGAGAAAGAGAAAGAGAGAAGGAGAGAGAGAGATATATAAAGAGTATGTGTGAGAGAGGAAGAGAGAGTAAGAGAGAGAGAGAGAGAGAGAGAGAGAGAGAGAGAGAGAACTAAATATAATACCAATTTCCTTGACCTTGGGAACTATGCCCACCGTTGGTCACGCACAGTCAAGCAGTACAGGGTATTGAATCGACATCCGACGCAGCGTTCTCCAAATGGTGATGCCCCGACCGACATCGGCCCGCGAGCCTTACTTTGACGATCCACACAACATGAATATTTATGGTCAAAGACAGAAAAAAAATATAATTATCACATCGCCCAACGGTCCCTGGTAAATTTGGAAACCAGTCGACTGTTCCGCCAAACTTTAAAAGTTTGGGAAACACTGACTTCTAACAAAATTGACAGCCAGTGTTATGATTGTAGGTTTGTGGTCACGTGGTCCTATTGATCCCACAAATCAGCCAAGCGTAGATCCCTCCCAACTTCACTTGGCACACTCGGCTTGCCGGTAGAACACAGGACTGAGACACGCAGGGTGAGTGATGTAAGATTGAGTGGTGATAGAGTATTCACAGTATGCACAGTTGTAGTCAAATCAGGTTTTTTATAGTATAGCATCCCAGAATTGAGATTATGGCAGTACTTATTTCTTTTTTTTTAAATACGTAATGTACTGCACGTGCACTTGTACAAGGGATCCACAATTTATAACAAGCAGCCTTCTTAAACATCTATGGTAGCTCGTCAATTTGTTCAATGACCCCTTGGCGACATTCAGAGTAATGAAATGAGGTCACTAGACTAAAATACACGCTGGTTACGACTGGGTCAGTTTGATGTTGTTGCACTCAGAGCAGGCTTTATGGTGAATGTTGTGCTCGCGAGGCAAGTAACCTTCAACGAAACCATACTTGAAATATCCGATAGTTGAATTTAAACATACATACATACATACATATATATATATATATATATATATATATTGTCACAGAACGGTTGTTACGGAGGAGGGCTCCGGTCCTGACTTAACACAAACTATGTTGACTAGTAGTGGTCAGTACAGGACCGCTCCTCTCTGTGATTTATATGGTGGGTGTCTAGGCGTTGAGACAGACAAAAGCACAACGTAGACTTGAACGAAATGCAACAACTCAAACTCCAGGTGTCCAAACGATAATGAAAGTATGTTTATTTCTAAGATATAAGTGTCTTCTATCACCTGTCGTCTTCTGGTCTCTAGCAAGTATTCCTTAACAACTGCTCAGTTCTATCGTAGCTCTTTTCTCTCTCTTCCTCAACTAATCCGTAGTTCTTCTCTATCTTCCTCAACTAACTACTGTCGCTCCTTTCCCTCTTCCTCAACTACGTCGTACCTCTGTTCACTCTCCCTCAACTAACCTTAACTCAGTGAAAGCTCTATCTTATATGTGGTTCTCTACCCCCCATAGGTGGTCCAGGAATGCTATCTATAAACACACCCATGCCCCCTAATTTCCGGTCAATTAGACCTTCCCATTGTTAACCCAAAAATTATCATGCGCAGTCTGGAAAACCCGAACATACTATTATCCAAAGAAACAATCCCCCACTATATCAAGATGTGAGAGTCTATTAACCTTAACTTAACCCCATTAACAGCAGTTTCCTTCCATCCTATAAGTTACTTTAACAACAATGGAGCTCTGTCCTTATCCCCCGCCCCAGTCATTTGTGACATATATATATATATATATATATAGTTTTTCATAACATCTCCCTTAATAGGAAATGTTTAGCTTTAGAGAGTGAATAAATATTAAATGGAGTGGGGTAGGCAGCGTTTGTGACACCCAGGGTGGTCCTTAATGTTTCGACCCCTCACTCAAGAAAACCCTAAAACACAAGTCATATTCAGTGCATGGAGTGGACCTTTAATGCCGCCCCCGACACACATTGTGCCACCAACCCCGACAAATGCCACCCCATGCCTTTCCGTCCCCATCTTCTCACGCCAATGTTTCTTCTTCTTCTATATCTTAAGGGCGCACGATCAATCTATTGATATTTTGGCTCCTATGCATGTAGATGGGATTTGCAATGTTTCTGTTCCTGGTGTTGATGAGGAAATTTCACTGATTTCCAGTGCCACTTTGTGTTTGAATGTAATGAGTTAAATTAATTGGTCTTATTTTCAACTTCGTCCCTGCCGAAAACGCCAAGAGATGACTCTCGTTATGTCGTCCACTTTCTGACTGAGTGCGCAATATCACAGGCATGGGAGGAGCGCAATCCTATTAGGCTTATAGATTCACATCACCGTTTTTTTAAAACCTCCAACTGCACCCCTGTCCTAAATTCCTAAAGCCCATGAGAACAAATTATGTGTCCATTTGGCATGTAGAAGTAACTAACATTGTGAACTTCACGTACTTAGATCAGATAGATCAATCCCGGGTACCCCCGACATGGCGGTTTTGTTTGCAGAGGATTTGAACAAGACGTGCCGACATGCTGACATTGAAATTGACATGAGCGAATGTCTGTTTTGGTTCAACGATTTAACCTATATGAGCGAATGTCTGTTTTGGTTCAAAGGTTTAACCTATATGAGCGAATGTCTGTTTTGGTTCAACGGTTTAACCTATATGAGCGAATGTCTGTTTTGGTTCCACGGTTTAACCTATATGAGCGAATGTCTGTTTTGGTTCGACGGTTTAACCTATATGAGCGAATGTCTGTTTTGGTTCAACGGTTTAACCTATATGAGCGAATGTCTGTTTTGGTTGAGCAGTTTAACCTATATGAATGAAAGTTTGCTTGGTTCGAAATTTTAATACTTTGAGGTAACCACTGTTTTGTTTTGTTCGAAACGTTCACACAAGATAAACAATTCCAATTCGGTAGACATGTTTACTTCTTGTAGAGTTTTCCTCTACCAAGTTTCGACATTAATTAGTCACGTGGTACTCTTGAAATACATGTTTTTTTTAAACAAAAGGTTGACTCTAGCTTAAAGCGACAGATCTACAGATATGTATAATTTGCGCTGGTTGAGTTTGTATGGGTGGGTGGGCTGGAGGCGCACACTTTTGACTGCCTAGGGGGCGCCTGCAGGTCTTAATCCAACACTGAATTCATGTCGCTGGCCGCGTCAACTGAAATGATTTTTCTCCCTCAGAATCAGACATGGCGTCCGAAATCCCCAAAAACTTCTCGTGGGTTGAAGAGAATGTTCTGGCCGGATGCGCCTTCCCGGATAAAATAGCCAATGTCCAGTACCTGGTGGACAACAACATCTACAGTCTGGTGTCCTTGACCGCCGAGAAGGAAGTTGTGAGGGATGGAATCACAGGTAACGGTTCATTGGAAGTGATCACCTGAGGAATGGAATGAAAGGGTTTGAAAGGTTAAATATCACGTGTACACATAACAGTCGGTAGAGGACAAAAAAAAAAACCACAAGGCTGGTTTACCCGGGGCCACATTGTATAATACAATAATATCTCATCAGTTACAACACTGCACGGGGATTTCTCCATACACTAAACTTAAATGAGCAAGACTCATGCTCTCATTCCCATTGGTTAGGCCTGTTCCATCACTCTCCATATCTCTATAATACAAGGCATTCGATACATTCTGTTAAGGTCTGAACCACAAGCGCTTTAAATAGACTGTCGAACATACATTACAATAATTGGCACTCTCTTTACACTGGTTCAACGGTAACATCGTCTGCCCCTTCAACCAAGACGTAGCTGGTTCAAAGGATCGCCCCTACCTATGCCCATAGATTATTATTAGCCGGTTAGAACAGAGTCTTAACTATGGTCTATATTAGCCGGCTAGATGGAGTCGTGGCCATGGGCTATATTAGCCGGTTAGAGTAGAGTAGTTGGCCATGACAGCTTTCCCTAAGAGGGGGCGAAATCATAATTAAAAAGAAAACCTCACAAATTCTGAAGACAGCAACCACTTTTGTGTTGGGGTTGAACACATCACGCAAACATTGATGGCTGAACACATCACGCAAACATTGATGGCTGAACACATCACGCAAACATTGATGGCTGAACACATCACGCAAACACTGATGGCTGAACACATCACGCAAAAATTGATGGCTGAACACATCACGCACACATTGATGGCTGAACACATCACGCAAACATTGATGGCTGAACACATCACGCAAACATTGATGGCTGAACACATCACGCACACATTGATGGCTGAACACATCACGCAAACACTGATGGCTGAACACATCACGCAAACACTGATGGTTGAACACATCACGCAAACGTTGATGGCTGAACACATCACGCAAACGTTGATGGCTGAACACATCACGCAAACGTTGATGGCTGAACACATCACAAAAACACTGACGTAATCTCACAGTTGCCCGAATAAATCAGGAATGTTAAAAAAATAATGTTAACATTTTCTCTCTCTCTGTCTCTCTCCACCCCTTCTCTCTCTCTCTCTCTTTCTCTCTCTCTCTCTCTCTCTCTCTCTCTCTCTCTCTCTCTCTCTCTCTCTCTCTCTCATGTTAAAAAAATAATGTTTACATTTTCTCTCTCTCTGTCTCTCTCCCCCCCTTCTCTCTCTCTCTCTCTCTCTCTCTCTCTCTCTCTCTCTCTCTCTCTCTCTCTCTCTCTCTCTCTCTCTCTCTCCATCAAGGCAACTAAATTGCATAAATTAGGTTTGTCTTTAAATTAGATTTCTTAAATTTTATGCTAGATCAAAGTGGGTACACATTCTCATTTTTTAAAGGCATACACAAAGGTGAATACGATAATTTCGTCTTCTTTACTTTTCCCACGCAATTATAGCTAATAAAAATTTTCATCATTTTTAATAGCCGTGAGTCGACTGGTTGGTGGTTGAAAGTTTTAAATTTAGTTTAAAACCAAGGAAATCTGGTCTTGAGACCTATTGCTTTATGGATCTTAGTGTATGGTACAAAGGAAGGGATAAAGAAAAAATACAATATGAAGGGGCCAGATAGACTGGTGAAATGACGGCCAGATAGGCTGGTGAAATGATGGACGGGTACACTGGTGAATGACGACCATATAGACTGGTGAAATGACGGCCAGATAGACTGGTGAAATGACGGCCAGATAGACTAGTGAAATGGCAGCCGTATAGACTAGTGAAATGACAGCCAAATAGACTGATGAATGAAGACCAGATAAACTAGTGAAATGACGGCGAGATAGACTGGTGAAATCATTAAGAACTAATGTTGCTTGCTAAAAGTCGTTTCTTTCAATGCCAAATGAGCGGGACTGATATGCCCGATATAGGAGACATGGGGACAATGACATGAGCGTCACGTGTTGGTCAGTCGCACATGCTTGAGTGACCAAACAAGAGGTAAGGGCGCACAACACTGCTTTGTGCCACTTAAAATTTCGGTGGGTGAGTGAACCTGTTATACTATAGCCCGGGATTTACCCGCAGCTCTCCAAGTGACACTCATAGCGCATGCCACCGTATTACTCTCAATTCGCACCTTGCCACAATTGGTGCACTCGTTTTATTGACCAAATTGTGATCTAACTTCTATGCTGTATAGTAAAATGTATACCCTCTTGCTAACGAAACCACTTTTTGACGCAGATGAGTTTGAGGTTATTAGAGTCCCCATCCGTGACTACACCCCACCCACCATGAAACAAGTGGAGCAGTTTCTTCAAATTGTCAAGAAGACGAAAGCGCGAGGCAAGGTAAGCGCTGGTTGCCATTTTTTTTTTTAAAGGATACACGTCATGCACCCAAGATTTACATGTAACGAAACGGTAGAGTTTTTGTTTGGGTCCGGCGTGGAATAAAATAATAGGGCACAGGTAAGCCTTGACCATAGCTGTCTTGGGACATTGATACTTCAGCGTATGACCTCACTCCATGTCATCTCCGGGGCGTTTCTAATTGAACATCATCCAAATTGTTTTCCATAATAACTTCATCCCCCCTAAAAAAAATAAAATTAAAATCCCAAATAATTGCATCAATAGACATAACGAATAGCCAATGTAGCAAAAATAAGTAACCTTTATTGGAAAAAAATAACTCTTCATTCATTTATCCTGTATAGCAGTGAAATACGCCTTTAGGGGGAACAAATAAAGGCATTTAATTTATGTCACAACATATCATTTTTATTAAATGTGTTCGCCTCAAGTTCAAAAGAATTATACACCTAACTTTCCTACCACTTATGTTTCAGGCCACATGCATCCACTGTGCCCATGGACTGGGTAGGACAGGCACCATGCTGGCCTGCTACTTTGTCCAGGCTCACGGTATGACCGACACGCAGGCCATCGAGCACGTCCGTAGTCTCAGGCCTGGCTCTATTGAAACTGCCGAGCAGGAGGCCCTGGTAGCAGAGTTTTATGGCTACTGGCAAGACAAGCGCTCAAAGGGAGAGGACCAGTTATAAGCTTGTTTTTCCATTGCTGTTATTTTCACAGCTTAAGTTTGCAATACAGGCCTTGTATTTTTATATATATACATTCTATGCCCATTGAAATTATATTGGTCCAAGTTCTATATATTCATTATTTATGCTCTAAATTGTAATCATGTCATCCTATAGCTTTTTTAAATATTAAGATAACTTTAAGTTTTATTCTGCTGCATATGTCTTATCAAGGTGAGACGTGTCAGGGTCTTTCAGACAGATGTACTGATCACCTTCGAAATATTGCGTAATATAAACAATGTTATATCCCAAAAAAATTCATTGGGGAGCAATCACAAGGGCACAAGCGATTCAACTCTTACCGCCATTGTTTCTTGTACCAACACGCCCGTCAGGGTGAACTTATTGCACAAAGAAACAGATTGTTCATGTTGCAACAATAAGTATTAGCCTACATACTTTCTTCCCACTGCATTGTTTTAAGCGTCCGTTCACACGATCAAGTTCCTTTCAAATTAGCGGCAACTTTTTATGAACGCACTATTTTGTGCATGGTTTCTTTTCTTTTTTTGACAATAATGAGAATTTGATTTTTTTTTTTTACACAAAGTACTGAGTACTATAAGGCTTTATTATTATGCTAATAAGGCTGTGCATTTTTTTTTTTACAATTATAATACATTATAAAAACTAATACATATGAAAGAAATGTTTATTTACACCCCTAAACTTTATGGTGCAGCTAGCTATATATTTTAATATATTCATTAAGAAAATAAAGATGATTAAACGCATAGATTTTGTGTTGTTTGGGTTGACATCTAGCGTCAATTTCATGTTGGTGCACGATTATTTTGGACTAGAGTTTTACTAGACCAGGAACCGACAATATCTTTGTAATTGGGGGATGGGGGGGGGAGGTAAATCGTATTGAAATTGGATGTTAACTCCAGTGACGTTGCGTGGCTGCATATATTTGAAACTATCGTTGATAAACTCAAAAGTGAAATATACCAATAAATATGTTCTTACAATTTTCAGCAGTGAATTTAAAAACCAAAAAAACAACACAACTACAACAAACAAATCAGTTGATATATAACTTAGCAACACAAAGTGCTGAAACCTCTAATAACATATTATCCTCTCACACCAAGTCTTACATACACTATACCCTAGCCTTACACACTCTATACCCCAGCCTTACACACACTACCACCCAGGCTCCAGTCTTACACACTCAAATACCCCTGCTTCACACACACTACACCCCAAACTTACACACTCTTCACCCCAGCCTTACTCACACCACACCGCAGTCTTAGACACACTATAACCATGGGCGCCCGCAGAAAACTTTCTAGGAGGCAAAAAAAATCGATTAACTTTCCATGGGGGGGGGGGGGGGGAAAAAATTTTTTTAGTAATGTTTTAATGTAGCTTTAATTTACTGTAGCGTATTTTTATGGTGAACGAACGGACAGGACATCAGCTTAGTTACTTTCTCTTTATTTTCTCTTTACTTTAATACATTTTTTGTCTATTTTTGTCTAAAGTTTTTTTATCAACCCAAGGGGGGGGGCAAGTGCCCCACCTTGCCCCTACCTGCGGGCGCCCATGACTATAAACCAGCCTTAAGTACACTACACCCCAGCCTTACACATACTACACCCCAGCCATTCACACTACGGAGTGGCTATAGCTACCCGCAATTGGCTATTCGGACCCGGCTCGTCACGTGAGGGCTTTATAATATTCGGTTGGTCACGTGACAGTTATGACGGTTACTTCCTGTTGGTTTGCCATCTTAGGGCCATTATTATCAGTCGAGAATAAATGTGCCATATTTGGAAGACTTTTCTCTTGCGTTAAAGAAACACGCAGAACAATGTGACGTACAGCTAAAAGCAAGTAAGAATATGTTTATGTTTATAATTTTATTGTAATTTTTAATTCTATTTTAAATATAGTTCTATAATCATTAACATGACATCAATCAAGATTCAAGATCAAAGATGCTTTTTTTTTTTTTTGGCGGCAAATCGGCTACTGTCTTATCTGTAATTGATAATTGTAATGAAAAGTTTGGCTGCGGCTATTCGGACCCGGTATCAGAAGTGGATACTTCAATTTTAATTCACCGCAAAAATTATTATTATTTACACTTCCCATAAAACAAATGTTCTTTTGAATAAAAAATAATTCGGAGAGATCAGCCCGCGGCCGCCATCTTGGTTATCGTGACCCACGAACTTATGTCCTAAATGTAGGCACTTGAATACAAAATTTAAAAAATTGAAATAATTTTTTTTAATAACACAGTTAGAGCAAATTTCAAATAAAAAAATGAAACCAGAATCAACTTTTATAAGTACTTTTTGAGCTATACATTTTTAAAGTGTGAGTTCGTTTGGTATTTTTTACCATGGACGAAACCTCCACATCTTGTGATCTCATTCCGCTGATCGCACCATGCGCAATGACTATATACTTTATATAAGGCAACGCATCGCCATATCACTAAAATACTGTTTAGGGTCGAGTTGGTTTAAACTTTCAACTTTGGCACATGAATAATTAATTAAAAGCTTTCCCTGACCAATGGTATAGTAGTTTTTGCACACGGCAAATTCTTATGAATGAAACTCTGAGGTAGTACTACGAAACAGCCATTATGCAAGTGGCTGTGAATGGTTGCCAATGACAAACGTGTTGCACACAGTAAATTCTGATCATTTATAATATGGACTCTACCGGGTTGTTAAAACTCAAATTAAAATATTCCAGTTTAAATGTCTTCAAAATGCATTATGAAACAAAGTTATCAAATATTTTGATGTAAATAGTGGTAATAAATTAATCGAAGTGTCTACCGCGCCGGACGTGTAGTGCGCAAGATACACGTCCGGCGACTTGTCACGTGACCGCCGGACATGGCCGGACGGCTAGTAGTTTTTATAATTCCAAACGAAGTACGATTTAGTACATCTTGTCTGGTCTTGTGGTAGAGTGGTTGCTTGACGATAGGAATGTTTGAGGATCTATACCGGGGATAGGGTCGTTTTTATCAGCAACAGTAGTTTCATGAGAAGTTTTTAAATATTTTGTAGCAATTGAAATAATTTAAAATGAAATCTTTAACTTTTATTGGTTGCCACACTGGCCCCTAATTTATTTTATGGATTACTGGTACACAAAAAATAACAAATTAAACAAAAATGTTTACAAGCCACTTTCACTTAAGTTTCTTTTTCTATTATTTGCATTCAAGATACTCAGTACATTACTTGGTAGAGAAATATATTTTAAAATTAACAATAGTTTTGAATTATTCGCAGTCACGTGACAAGGCTGACCGACACGGTATCTCTCGCCACTTTGTTACGGCGGTCATGTGACTTGGTCGCCGGACACATAGTGCGGGAGATAGACGTCCGGCGCGCCGGACGTGTAGACACTGCCTAAATTAATATTTCCTAAGTATTGGCAACTTCCGCCATGGATGAGGGAACTGTATGACCTGCTGCGAATGCGTAGAAACATGGCGTCTATCGTAAGACACTTATCGCTGTGAAAATTGGCATACATGTAGATCAATACATTCCCCAGATGCAAAAAAAAAAATTTGGGGAGTGACAAATCTTTTACTTCGACTTAATTTTAATGATGTAAGTTGCCTTATATTTACCAATGATTTTCTCAAAGCTGGCTGATTGTAAATGAAAAAGAATTTGATTAAAATGTAGGCCAAGATGTCTACCTAATTATAAGGCCGAAAACGGAACTCAAATATATATCGAAAATACTAATTTAATAATTAATAGTCACACACATCGGAAAAATTAAAAACTCGGATTTTTCTGCCCCGATTTCTTCTTCCGATACACACAAAGTAGTAGTCTCCCTTGTTTCATCGAAGTATCTACCTAAATGTATCCCTAAACCTAACATCAACCCTAAAATGATAAAATGTATCCCTAAATCTGATCAATCTGAATTAGCCTAGGCCTAAAAAAAATTTAATTCAAAAATTATTATACATTATTTCACACTTCCAATAAAACAAATGTTATTTTGAATAAAAACATACTTGACTTACTTCTTTAAATAAAGGTCCTCCGCTACTGTAGTGGCCAAAATTGAACAATATCATCTAGAATGGCATTGAAGACATAAAAACCATTTACTTTAACACGTTGATGCCACATGTCCACATGAATACACATATGCAAATCGAGCATGTGTCTGTGTGTGCCATTGTGGCGCTTGTTTCTCTCTTTTGCAGATTTCCAAAAATGTTTGATGCTTTGGGTGTTGGCTATTGGCACCTGAGTTTGGATCCAAAAACTTAACAGAATAAATGACCGTTTGATGAGTCAATCCCGGAGTGGTGCCAATTGCATTATAAATATATGCTCTCCATTGATCTAACATGACTGTTGTGCCCAGCAGGATGTGTGCTGTGATTATCGGCATAAGTGTAATGTGTAGCTGCTGATCTATCTTGTACACAAAACATGAAACACTCGCTAATCTCCTGACAAATGCCTCCAAAGACCCATTGTTGTGGCAAAACTCGCCCGACATGATTTTTTCTGCATGTAAACAGACTCGTCGATTTCGACTGAGAATAAACATGACTTATAGGTGTCAATTATGTGAATTTTTTGATGGATGAAGCATGAATGGATCCTAACACATGTGTTTTGGGAAATAAGGCCCATGGAGGCCCTTTAGACACCTCTGGCATTGAGTTCTACTCCTTTTCCTGCCCTCAGGCTACTTTTCGGTTGCTTCAGACAGAGCGGTCCTTTTCACCATTGCGCATCCAATTATGGTTTATTTGAGCTGGGTGTTACTGAGAAAGTTGTCTGCATACTTATTAGTTATTATTATTATTCTCTCTCACAAACATTTTAATGATATATTGTGTAAAAATTAGTATAAGTACTCAAATGGGGTTCTTATCCCATGAGGCATATTTAAAAGCTCTATTTTTTCTAAAAATTCATAGGGGTCATCTCTAACCAATTCAGAACCCCTAATCCTAATCCAAAGATTCACAACATTATTGTAAACATAATCATTTTGATTATCTTCATTACTTTCCTGATTGTTTTCATCAGTGTCAGATTCACTGCTAGACAGCGAGAGATCAAGAGGGTTACGTCCCAAGAGGGTTAACGAAAAAGCTTTCGGGTGACCAGCTCTCCTACCATGCTAGTACATGAATTTCAAATATCCTAGTCCAGAGTTTCCAAAGCATTTTGGAGTCACAGCACCGTTGCTGCACCCACGTCTTTTCAATTTTGCTCTAAGCCACATTCTTTGTGCACTGTAAAAAGAACTTTTTAAAGAATCTAATCCATTTTTGAAACCTTATACTTATACAAGAAGACATACCTCATTAACTTCACTTGACTCTATCAAAACAATATTTAATTGATACAGCATACACACTGCACAAAACCAACTGCTACTTTAATAAGTACAGAGTAAGTACCAAGTAGGTTGGAGAACTAGTGAAAAATACCAACTTAATTAAAAATGGCTTGCATTAAGTCCATTAATTTTTTAACACTTCAGGTTGCAGCATGACACAGTCCGGGAGCCTAGTCACTTACATGCCATAATCAACACATATCTTTACATTTTCTCTTAACACCTAGCATCATCCTAATCCCCCTTCTAATAATAAATATTAGTATCTTGATCCTTTGAATGCACTTTATGTAAAAAATATCAAAAGACTGTATTGGAATGGTTAGTTTCACTGATTAGGTTAGGGTAAAG